AACTAACTTTCTTCCCTCCCCTTCTCAGCCTCCTTCTCTCGCTCTGAAGTTGCTAAAACACAAGCTCCTCTGGCCACACGCCCCTTCTTGAAGCAAACCTCGCCCCCCTTCCTCTCCTCCCCCTCTTGCTCGCCCTCGCCTGCCCCCACCGCTCAGGCTGCAGCTCGGGCTGCTGGGGGCGCCCTTCGAAGGTGGCGGGCGGGGGGTGGTCCCTCGCCAAGTCCAGCTGGAGAGTAGAGGCGGGAAGAAGGCTAGAAGGCAGAAGAAGGGGTATCCTCCCTTCACCCTCCTACTTTGTAAGGAGCGAGAAAGTTTCTTTTTTTAATCCCCCAACAAGTGTCTGGGAAGTTGTTGGAGGAAGGATGGGCAGGCCCCCCCTTCCACTTATAAATTCTCCTGTAGGTGGGGGAGCGGCTCTGAGCCAATTGACAGGGAAGATCTCCAAACTTTCCGTTTCACCCTCCCTCCCCCCTACTAAGACCCAAAGCCGCCCCCTGCCCCAGAGAAGAATTCAAGTCTTTAAGCACCCTTGCCCACTCCACCTGGCCCCAAGGTACTGTCTCCTGAACCCTCAGACTTCTGGGATGTACATATTTGTCTTTCTCTCTAGGCCCAACACCCTGAAGGCCACCCTCAGCATGCTCCAGGCCCTCCCCAAGGAAAATCAGCCTAGGAGGAGTTTTCCCTACAGAATGCCTAGTGTACACACAGAGGATAGACAGCCAGACTGACAGATGGGTGACAGGGAAGGGGAGAGGCAAGCTCGTATCTTCGCTCTTGTTTTTGTTTTTCAAGGAAAGCGCAGAAAAGATACCCTCAATGAGCAGTGAGCCTAGCTGATACTCTAAAGCCTCCAGATGCCACAGGTCTTTACCCAGGAGGACTGCTTGCTGGCCTGTCCCTCTGTCCTCACTACCATCAGCATGGGGCATGATGTCATATCTGCAAAAGCCCCACCAGGAGAAGGCCTTCACAATGTCCTCTCTGGGCACTTAGGTAAGCAGCCTTGCTCACTCCTGCGAACACCTGCAGAGCCCTAGCCTAGGTTCTTCCTGTCAATGCTCCCCCACAGATAGGAATCACCCCCAAATGAGGTTGAGTGTCCCCCCAGGTGGCATTAGCACAGTGGCCCATCAAGGCACCCTCGTGGTTAGGTTGAAGGTTTGGAGATAATGAGATTGTTTCTTCCTTGGAAGCTGCCCCAAGGAGTATCCAGTGAGAAAGGATTGGTGAAGGGGACAACAGGCTTCCCTCTCTCAGGAGAGCCCAAAAGCATCACAGGCAAGAACCCAGCCCGGGCACCAGGGCTCCCTGGCACTGCCCACACTGTGTTACAATACAACTTTCTGAAGGACTGAGCAGGGTGGGGCTGCTATTGGGGCTTGGACAGCATCTGAGGGCCCTGCCCCTGCTTGGGCACCCGGCAAGCCCACAGAGTGGGGATTTTGCTCCCAGGAAGAGCATAGCCTAGTGTTCGGAAGAGCTTTGGTGTCACAGACTAGGTTCCTGGCCTGGCTGTGCCATGCACTGTTGTGTGGCTTCAAATATGTCCCCTCCCCTCTCTACACCCCAGTTCCTCACTGGTGAAATGGGCCTAATGAAGTACCTATCCTTTGGGCACTGTGGGGATTCAGTTGCAGGTGAAATCCTGGGCCTATGACCTAGAACACAGGGAAAGTTCTGTCAACATCAGTTCTGTCAAAATCGGTTCTGTCAGGGCTGGAAGGGCTGAGAGATCATTCAGGTCCCATCCCCTTGGATGGGTGACAAATGAGGAAAATGAAGTAGCAAGGGCTCCTTCTAGAACTAGGAGAACCACTAAGATAGTTTGGTCAGATGGGCAAAGTGAGGCCCAGAACCGAGAAATGTCATGTTAAGGTCTCTCAGTGGGACCGGTGGTCACAATGGTTTCCTTTATCCTGTGCATATGGAGATGACACTGCCCAGTGATTAGGTGCCTGGGCTCCGGCATCCGCCTGCTGAATTCAAATCTCAGTCCTCGAAATTCCTATCTGGGACCGATAGGCAATAGACTTAGCATCTTTCTCTGTTGCCTCGTCTGGAAAAATGGGTTGTTCACATGATTAAATAAATTGATATATGTGGGACACCTGGCACCTAGTAAGTACTCAATAAATGTTAACTACTAATATTATTGGCCACTCCTCGGAAGGAAGGTTGGGCAATCCTACTTCCGTAGTGATACTGCCTCAAAAACCCAAGGAGGGGTCGCTATGAGTCA